GGTATTTGTACCATCTTTAGTTTTGCTGAGTTGTAGACATTCTGAATCTGCAAGGCCCTCATAAAGGCTTGAATTGTGGCTTGCTCGGCAGTCTGTTTAAATTGTGTTCAAAGTGCAAAGGCAATCAATAAATCAGCTTTGTGAAATGTGTCTGCTTTGCAGTTTTCAGCCCCAAATAGAAATAGTTCCCAACAAATGTTACAGATATGTCTGTGATATTTATTAGAAGTTTCCCAATGCAGGTGCGAATAAAACCAAGCCCCCTAAAACAATACAGAAACATATATAGGTTTTTGAAGAGGGAGAACTCTTTAAAGACTACTGTTACCATCCCTTTTTTAATCAAATCAAATCAATAATTAAGTCATGAAGGGAACGCAACATAAAGAGTACACATGAACTAAGTTGTCTAAATTATTAAATTTATTACAACCAAAACAATCCAACAGATCATGTGTCACAACTAAATAAGAATGAATAAAGAATCAATAACTCACGTTCTCCAACAACATACAACACTAACCAAAGACTAAACAACCCAACAATTGACAAATTAGAACAAAGTAAAACTTCAAGAAACAAAACAGTAAATTAAAGAAACGAAAGAAGCTTGATGGCTGGCTGTGAAGTCTTCTCTCTCTGTCTCCGCTCAAGGATGGTCCGCATTTATAGCCAGTTTCAATAAGCGCAACTCGCCGCAGGTGCGCAAAGGCGGACTCTATAGAAAACAAACAGTGAGTGACGTCATGACACACACGTAAGCACAGAGACAGGCACTAAAGAGAAAAAAAAAATAAGGCAACAGCCGTAACACTACCAATGAAAAAAATACCTGGTTTCATCAGTGCCACGTTTATTGAATGCTGCATGCTCTGCTGAAATGACAAGCAATAGAAGTCTATATTAATGATATTATGTATCATTATTGACAATTTTGAATTATGAGGGTCTGTTTTGAAGATAAAAAGTTTTGTGTATCACTAACCCAATTTCCACCAGCACGAACAGGCTCTAGTTCAGAGCTAGTGCTATTGCTTGTTTTTAACTGGTTCATCTGGCGAGTCTTCTAAGAACTGCTTTGCTTTGGTCTGGCGTCACTCAATATGTCTCATGTTCAGCAATGCGAATGTGAAAGGGCCAATTACACAAACACACAACATTTTGTGAACTTGCATTGGCATACAAACTCATTGAATCAACCATGTTTGTGCAGCTTTGGCTAGTTTTACAGTATAGATGCAGAAAATAAGTGAGAATAAGATGCTCATAGAGCATGCCATAGTTTTTATAAACAGCTGTAGATTAAAAACTGTAAGACTGTATTTGTGCTGTGCACCATAGTTGGATGGATGGAGATTATAAGCAATAATAACGTTCAAGCATTGTTGTTCGTTGTTATATCTAAAATGGTGCTCACAACATTTCCAGAGTTTCTATTGACCTCATTGGCCACATCAACCCTGCTTTTTTCCTACTGCCTACTTGGGAATAATATCTTGAATGCCAAAGTCAAACATTCAACCTATAAACTGTATGGAAATCGAAAAACCCAGACATCAGCAAGACGCATCCTTTGACACCACTTCGCAAACACTTACTAGGCTAGCTGATACAGCAAGATTAGCATGGAGTTACCTTATGTGTAGCCTCAGCCTCAGATTTCAAACCAAGCACTGTCCAAGGAACTGTGGCTAAATGTCTGATGTATATGGCACACTTTTCTAAATACACTTTAGCAGATCCTCAGTCAACCTCTGATTGGTTTAACTGTACAAGATTTCCAGTAGACAAGTGTGTAGCAATCTTAAACAGTCAAGTCTGATACAAAGGGATTTGTAGTCGGAGAAGGGATTCAAGTCGGATACAAAAAGCTTTGTTATTTATCTCAGTCTGCATCTACATACAAGTCCTATTGGTTTCCTATATGTTTTGCTGACAGATCATTAAGGATATTGATGTGTCATTGTTGTAAACTTTTAAAAACCTTTGTGAATGAATGATGATAGTTCATTCGTGCTGGCCCGGTTGTCATTCTGGGGACACTTCCACATCTATAAACATGACATGACACGAAATGAAAGGTTAATGGTTTGCTAACCTGTTAGTCAAATAGCATCATGGGCAGCCATTGACCATTCAAAGCAACCAAAGTTCTCAGACCTTTAGCCGCCAGTCTGAGGTGTGACTACCTTAAGTGAAACATATAAATACATTTTGATGTTTGCAACCCAAAGTAAGTGGGAACCCACTAAAAAGGTGCCTTCTATTATCATTTTAGTGCAATACATAATGTTATTTTTTGTTTTTAGTCAGTTGTATCGGTACAGCATTAGTATAGCTATCCTTTTATATTCTATTGTCATTCATTCATTCATTTTTATCTACTTTTCTGGGGCCGGGTCGCAGGGGCATAAGTCTCAGGGAAGACATGCCTGTAACACCTCCCCTAGACATCCAGGAGGCATCCGAAACAGATGTCCAAGCCACCTCATCTGACTTTTCTCCATGTGGAGGAGCAGCGGCTCTACTCTGAGCTTCTCCAGGGTGAAAGAGCTCCTCGCCCCATCTATAAGAGTGCGCCCTGCCACCCTGCAAATGAAAACTAATTTGGCCGCTTGTATCTGAGATCTTGTCCTTTCAGTCATGACCCAAAGCTCATAGGTGAGAGTAGGAACAAAGATTGATCAGTAAATCGAGAGCTTTGCCTTTCGGGTTAGCTCCTACTTTACCACAACAGACCAGTACATCGACCGCATTACTGCTGCCATTGATCCCCCTGTCAATCTAGCGTTCCATCCTTCCCTCACTCGTGAACAAAACCCCAAGATGCTTGAACTCCTCCACCTGGGGTAAAGACTTTCCTCCAATCTGGATATGGAAAACCACCTTATCGTGGTGAGGGATTTGAGGGTCTTTTCTTTTGTTTTAGCCATAATTAGCACAATAAAATGATGTTTTGAAATATTTACACTTGATTATGTTACTGGATTAACTTGAACATATTGAGGTTGGAATTGGGTCATTTCACCCCTGAAATTCCCACCTCAGACTGAGTGTCGTACCAGGCATTACTTCTAGCCTAGCAGTGTTTTAGTGCTACAAATGAAACTTTTTGGTTGTCAAAAGATAGATTTAATTTAAAACCAGCACTCAAAATGGGTAACTGTGAACTCGAGACATTGAACTAACAATTTTGCCCCATAACACATACAAAGATGAAAGATTTGATTTAAATCAAGTTTCTTTAGCATATCTGGTGTGCATAATGTACGTTGTCATTAGTGTTACATTTATTGGACATGCAGTATAGCATTCATGATTGCATACTTTAGTGCAAAAGACCATTGATTTTTGCTGTTGTTTGTAACTGCAGAGCTGTTTTAGATAAAGATACAGAGTGTATCATCTTTAACTAAAGACATTCACTATTTGAATCTCATAACCCAGGGCTATTCAATTAGTTTGTCATGGGGGCCAGTTTATGAAAAGCATCCCAAATGAGGGGCCGGAGAGATATGACTTGCAATATGTGTGATGACACAACAGTACATTGTAGAATAGGCTTTTATTTATTTATTTATTTATTTATTTTTTACAAACATTCAAGTGTATTTCAAAGCACAACAAAAGCAGTGCATTGCTGAAGTAGGCTTCTTCTACATTCAGACACATTCATGGGTTATGTTATGAACTGCATAACAATTAGGGATGCAACAATTATAGATTTTGGCTGTACGATTATATAATCTGAAGTTTTAAGCTTTATATTGCCTTATGTTTTTTAGATTTTATTGCCTTATGTATGCAAATTAACTATTGTTATCATCTACGTTCATACATATATAATCATTTTAATAATTTTATAATTCGTCTAACATATTTTTTTGTTTACATTGCACTGAAAGCCACACACAACTCTCACTGCTATGGCGTGAGACGCTTTCTATCGGGTGCGCCTTTGCACTGTGCTGGCTCACGCATATTGCCATATTTTCTTTACATTAGAAATAATAAACTTGCGCACGGAATAAGACGCAATATGTGAATGTCCTGCTGGTATAGTTAATCCAGTGTGCGTGCGTATTAGCCTTGGTGTACAAGCTTGGAACATTAAACTAGCACACAGGTGGCATAACTGTTTAGTTGCAGCAGATTCATTCTGTGCAACAGAAACGTGGCGTTGAGAGGCCTATACGATTAAGTATCCAAATGTTTTCAGCTGCTTGCGCCACTCGCTTAATGTCAGGAGACACACTCTGTGCAGCCATTAACTACAGCTCATGCTGTATTGAACAGATGCACGTCACTTCATAACTATAGCTGCCGTTTTTCAACTGAACTAAACTTATTTTTGATGTCTTGGTCACACTATTTGGGGGCCCTGAACAAATTGCCTTAGGGGCCAAGTCCGGCCCGTGGGCAGCCAATTGAATAACCTTATCATAACCTTTTGGAAAGGAACAAAAAGTTAAATGATAAATGATTTAATCAAAATATTTAGTTGCTTCAATATACACCAATATACATTTTTTGGTGTTGCATGTATTGAACATAGAATATATGATAGCATGCTCTGTGGAAAATACCTTTTATTTTAAAGTCTGCACTGTAAAAAACAATATGACAAATTTCTCTTGACAGCAAATGTTTTTACTTCATTGTAAATTAATAAACTAAGTTAATCATGTTTTAACTTAAGTTTCTAAGTTACTCAAGCTGTTTTAAATCAGTTTAACATAATATAAGTTCAATTGACTCATCAATTTTTGATGTAGCTTAAAATTTAATGCAACCAGGACTTTTTGCAGTGTGGACCTTTTTTTTATTATTATTATTATTTATTTATTTATTTTGAGTATTCCATATTATTGTATCATTATCGACTGGGGAGATAAAGAAAAATACATAAAAAAAAAACATATATATATATGTATGTATGTATGTATATTATTTTACTTATTTTTATTAACGTAAATCTTTCTTCTTTCTTTGTTTTATAG